CTGTGAGGACCCGTTGTGTCTATAGTGGAAGAACTGCTGTGCTGGAGACACCCTTATGGAGCAGGACTTGCTTCAGTGGGGCTTTGGTGCTCACTGAGTCTGCTTCTTGAGTGTGTCCCTTATGGATGTGAGGAGTTGAAATCTGGTATCTGACCAGGGTTACCCTGGCTCCGGGATCTCCAAGTCAACCACTGTGTGGGCCCACCCAGCAGGAGCTACAGAGATATCAACAGATTTCCCCTCTTTGTTTGGGATTTGGAAGTTTTGGAGCTCTCTGACCCAGCTGCAGTTTGTTGGGTTAGGCTGCAAAAGCGCAGGTGGTTCCTTTGCGCCACTGGCACAGCTTGGGTGGGGATGTAAATTGAGTGGGGCGGGGTCTCAGAGAATCACCAGGGCAGAGCAAACAGCAATGGTTGTCGTCAGTGTCTCCACAACTCCTCACGTCTCCACGACTCTGACTCCGTGTCTCCCCCAGTGCCACGCCCCCACAGCAACAGTGATCCCTGGGAGCAGCTCTGTGAGAAAGCCACCCTCGCTTTCTGACCCACTGCAAGACAGTCCAGTTTCTCCCTGTAGGAGCCTGGGACCTCAGAATCTCGCCTTAAACGAGCTCAGTGCATTCGAGAGCTTGTATCCCCTTCCGATGGAAAAAAACCGCGCATCCAGTTGCAGCCCGCCTTCATACCTCTGTTCTTGGTGCCTTTGCACCTCCTACTCAGTCTCAATGCGCTTCTTTCTTTCCTTCTAGTTGTAGAACTTCCACTCGGCCAGCTTTCCTGTGGTTCTGGATGATAGCTGTTTTGTCTTATAGTTGTAGTAGTTTCAGTGTTGTTGTGGGAGGCAGCACACACAGGTTTATACCTTATGCCTCCATCTTGGTTCTTCCTGAGTATTTCTTAATGACATTATATTTTATTAATAAACTAGAGGCTCAGTGCACAAAATTCATGCACGGGTGGGGGGCCCTCAACCCGGCCTGCACCCTCTTCAATTCGGGCCTTCTCGGGGGATGTCCAAGTGCCAGTTTAGGCCCAATCCCTGCACATCCCCCTCTCAATCCGGGACTGCTGGCTCCTAACTGCCTCTGCCTGCTGGCCTGATGCCCCTAACTGCTCTCCTGCCGGCCTAATCGCCCCTAACTGCCTCTGCCTGCCAGCGTGATTACCCCTAACTGTCCTCCCCTACCGGCCTGATCACCCCTAACCACCTCTGCCTTGGCCCCCGCCACTGGCTTTGTCCAGAAGGATGTCTGAAAGATGTCCAGTCTAATTAGCATATTATCCTATGATTAGTTAGACAACTAATACTAACTGCTTTAATTAAATATAAAGCTGTTAAGAAATACTCAGCTTTAACTACAGTGTACTTTATAAAGAATTTTAGTGTAAGTCCCCTTTGTTTCCTTTCCATTTTCTCCCAGATTTTGTTATATTCAAATTTCTTTTTTTAAAAATATATTTTATTGATCTTTTACAGAGAGGAAGGGAGAGGGATAAAGAGTTAGAAACATCGATGAGAGAGAAACATCGATCAGTCGCCCCCTGCACACCCCCCACTGGTGATGTGCCCGCAACCAAGGCACATGCCCCTGACCGGAATCGAACGTGGGACCTTTCAGTCCACAGGCCGATGCTCCATCCACTGAGCCAAACTGGTTATGGCTATTTTCAAATTTCAGTTATATGCTGGGGAAATTTACAATGAGAGTAACATTGAGCAATTTTTGAGTTTTTGCACCAAAATGTTTATCACATGCCTACCTTCTTTGCTATGAACATATCAGGAACAATGTGAGATTTATATTATTCACAGTAACAGTTACTGAGAGAGATTTTTCCATTCAAACTTGTAATCTGCATTTTAAAAAATATACATATAACACATGAAATATATGTAATATGTCTTTTTCTTCCAATAATCAATTTCCGAGTGCAAATTTCTAAAGAAATTTAGAAATTTTGTCTGGATGTCAATGGAAGATGAACATGAAACTATTAATCTTCCATGTGACTCTCATAGCCAAAGGATCCATCCATTAGAGACTTTTTTTTCTCTTGCTCTGAAATTTATGTCTGGTTGCTGACATTTAGGAGACAGGACTGGGTAAGGATCTGATGATTTAATGCAGTGCTTTTCAAACCTTACGTTACATCAGAGTCACCTGGAAAGCCATTAAAGCATTGCTGGGGTCTACCATCAGGAATTCTAATTCAGTAGGTGTGTTAGTTATATATTAGTGCATGAAAAATGATCACAAATTATTTTAAAATAACACACCTTTATTATCTCATAGTTTCTGTAGGTCAGGAAATAGGGCATGGCTTAGCCAGGTCTTTTGCTCAGGATCTTTCCTGGGCTGCAATCAAGGTGTTGGCCAGGACTGGGGTCTCATCTGAAGGCTCAACTAGGGAAGAAGCCACTTTTAAGCCCATCTGATGATTGGCAGAATTCAGTTCCTTTAGGGTTGTGCCCATCTGTTTCTTCTTTCATGGGCTCTTTCAAGGTGGCCACTTGCTTCATTAAAACATACAAGCTGAAGGTGATAGAGGAAGTCAACTAGCAAGACAGAATATGTTATAAGCTTTCATAACCTAACTAGAGGCCTGGTGCACAAATTCGTGCATGGGTGGGGTCCCTTGGCCTGTCCAGTGATTGGGCTGATCAGGGCCATCTCATGGGAGGGACCACAGAAGGTTGGCTGTGGGAGTGCACTGACCACCAGGGGACAGCTCCTGCATTGAGTGTCTGCCCCCTGGTGGTCAGTGTGTGTCATAGCTACCAGCCAGTTATCCAGTCATAACGGTCGCTTAGGCTTTTATATATATAGACTAGAAACCCAGCGCGCGAAATTGCATGGCCACAGCCACCTGTGTGCACCTCTCTGTACTCCCAGCCCCGCCCGCCTGCACTTCTCCCGCCACACTGGCAGCCCCACCCACCCGTGCGCATCTCCCAGTGGACTAATCGTTATGGCGTTACGACCACTGGATTTTTATATATATAGATAAGGAAATTAAGTACCCTCAATGTTAAGTTATTCTATTGATTAGTAGCAAGTTTCTCAAGGAGGATTTGTTACAAGACTATAAATATGAGGAAGTAAGGATCATTAGGAGCCATCTTAAAGTCTGCCCTCCAGAGTAGGCTTAGGATGGCTGAAGAATTTGCATTTCTAACACATTTCCCAAGTGAAACTGATACTGTTGATCTGGGATTCCACTTTGAGTACTACTGTTTAATCAGCCCAACTCTCTACTTTGCCTTGTGTCTTAGTCTGAAGCTTCTTTGATGTAGTTTTTACAGAAAGTGAACCTCCAGATGGGGGCCTGGGCTAAGAGGAATGGTTGCCAGGCACTTTGGGGTTGGGAAAGGCAACTTGGAGTCTTAACTTTTCTATATACATACTTTTACAGTCAGTGTTGCTTTTTCCAGCCCTGTTCTATACGTACTGCCTTTCATGGTACCTGATGCCCCCAAGTGCTGAGTGCCTGGTACAGATTGGCTCCCTTCCTCTGCAAATTCCTTTCGCAGGCACTTGTGTTAGAGCATTTCCCACTCTGCCATGTCAGTCAACTCTTCTCCATCAGTGACTTTCCAGTTCCCCTAAATTTGTTGAAGTCTTCTATTTATTGTTTCCTCTTTTATTGTTCTTGTATGACATTTTTCAAAATATCTTTTACTATCATTTTTGCATGGTTTGGGGAGAAATGGGTGAGTTCGCCGTTTTTAGCTTCAACCTATAAGTCTGTCTAACTTGTGTTGCAAAGAAAAGATTTAAAAAATCTTTAAATAATGATACTGTACTTTATTTTTTATGAAAGAAAAATAAAAAAACCAATAGGCCATAGTTTGGTTCTTGGCATCTTATGTAATCAGAAGCAGACCCATTGAGATAGAATAGCTGTAGGACAAAGAGAATTTTTATAAAATCACAATTTGTTTTAAGAAAAAAATTACTGCTAAAGGACTACTGAGGGTAAAATGAGTATAGAACTGAAACAGGTTTATTTGTTTTAATCAAACATATAATAGAGTTACTAAAGAATTGCTAGAATGACTTTGAAGTAATGCTTAAGTGCACTATAATTTCTTCACAAGTTGAAGAACTGTGTTACAGGTATATTTTAAAATAGTAACAGTTATATTAATAGATGTATATTTCTGTGTAGTACACCCTACTTAGGATGTTTTGAGGAAGTTGGTATGTATTTTTTAAGCTCCTTTATAATCAGCATTTGGCAGAAAAGAAGCCTCAGTTTTACTTGGCAAATTTACAGAAATGAAAACAGCTGGGATCAATAAGAGGAATACCAGGGGGGAAAGCCCACTTCATTTGGCTGTCAGAAGAGGAGATTTGTCTCTGATGAAAGTTCTAATAGAATCTGGAGCAGATGTGAATCTAAAAGATAATGCAGGTTTGGATTCTTTTAATTGTATTTAAATTTGAACTCACATTTCACAGCCTCTAACCCCAGTTTTGAATCTGGCTACTATGTAATAATTAACTTTGAACAATTTTCTTTAGTGACATATAAGTTGAATAGTAAGACTTACCTTGGTTCTCACCAATTGCTAAAATAACTTTCTTCTTCAACATGCATTTGGGAGCATTCAGCAAGAGTATATAGAATGGGAAGTAAGGGAAACTTTATTTAGGCCTTTTCTTTGTAGGCCCTAATTCCATTCCCTAACTTTGGAGAGAATGCAAAATTTTTCCTACTTTCTTGTTCCTTCTTTCCTTTCCTCCTGTCTTTCACTATTCCTTTCTTTTCCCTTCCCTTATTTTTATTTTAAACCTCCAATTTTAAATTGATCTAACATTTTGCTCAGCATGAAAGAATCTTGTGTGAGGAATTCCAGAGGGAAAAACTCAAAAATTGATGGAATGACATGTCATTTTAAAGAAAAATGTGACAATGAAAGGATACAAGTAGAAAAGTCAGAGATGATCTTTTAATATCTGAGTTGAAACAAATTGACATGATTAATATTTACTTTGGTCCCATTATGATTATGCTTCTGTTTTGGCACCTCTAGCAAATATTTTTTTATGAGATCAATTTGTTTTTAAAAATGAAACACATTTTAAGGCCACAGTTTTCAATATTTTTCCCACTAATATGTACATTTGAATCAATGTAGATGTTAATGTCATTAATGCAAGCAAACTTAATAATGAGTATATGTCAGCAGCAGCTTGTTTTAATTTTTCCCCTTTTCCATTTTTAGGTTGGACACCACTACATAAGGCATCTAGTGAGGGAGCTGATGATATAATTGTGGAGTTGTTAAGAGCTGGTGCTAATGTTAACTGTGAAGATCTAGATGGAATTCTGCCCTTACATGATGCTGTTGCAAATAATCATTTAAAGGTACAGTGCACATCAGATTTGGCTCCTATTACTCTTTTTTAGAAAAATGAGTGAAGAAAATGAAGATGTTTTAAATTGAGAACTAAAGTGATTCCTTAAAAGAAATTATTTTTAAAACCTTAAAATTACAAATGAAGATAAGAGATTGTGTAATGATTGAAAAATCAATCTATTTGCTAATGACTCATTTTTCTATTGTCTCTTCATCACATAATTCATATAAATCAGAATAAAATGAAATGGTTCAGAGTAAACACAGGCTATCAACCTAATACATTCCATTTTTAATGGTTTTAATTGATTTGCTATTGTGCATAAAAACTCTAATTATAGTGATGGTACATGTGACAGCTAGACTTTATTTAACTCAGAATTACACAGTGGATTTGAGGTTTCAAAGAAATGACTAAAAACACAATAGCTTGTTACTTGGAGGTTTGTTATATATTTTTCTCCTTTGTTTTTCTTAATTGGGCAGTGTGGTAAAAATATCATAAGAGAAAATTACTAGGGTTATTCTTTTAGTAACACTGAATTTCAAATCTAGACTTTAAAATTCTTCATAGTTTTTAAATTAAATCTTTATTGTTGAAAGTATTACATATCCCCTTTTTTCTCCCATTGGCCCCCTTCTATCCTGCCCCTGTTCCCCCACCCCCAAGGCCTTCACCACCCTATTATCTTGTACATGGGTTATGCATATATGCATACAAGTTCTTCGGTTGATTTCTTCCCACCCACCCTCCCACCCCTGCCTTCTCTCTAAGATTCCACTTCTGTTCCATGCTTCTATGTTTTTGGATCTGTTTTTTTCATCAGTTTATTTTGTTCATTAGATTCCACATATGAGATCATGTGGTACTTGTCTTTCTCTGACTGGCTTATTTCACTTAGCATAATACTCTCCAGGTACCTCCATGTTGTCTCAAAGGGTAAGAGATCCTTCTTTTTTACTGCTACATAGTATTCCATGTTGTAAATGTACCATAACTTTTTTTTTTTTTAAATTCAAAGTTTCTTTTTTGTTTTTTAAATATATTTTATTGATTTCTTACAGAGAGGAAGGGAGAGAGATAGAGAGCTAGAAACATCGATGAGAGAGAAACATCGATCAGCTGCCTCCTGCACATCTCCTACTGGGGATGTGCCCGCAACCCAGGTACATGCCCTTGACCGGAATCGAACCCGGGACCCCCCAGTCCGCAGGCCGACGCTCTATCCACTGAGCCAAACTGGCTAGGACCCACAACTTTTTTTTAAAGTATATTTTTATATATTTCAGTGAGGAAGGGATAGGGAGAGAGAGATAGAAACATCAATGATGAGAGAGAATCATTGATCAGCTGCCTCCTACATGCACCCCACTGAGGATCAAGCCTGCAATCCAGGTATATGCCCTGACCAGGAATTGAACCAGTGGCCTCTGGTTTCTGGGTTGACATTCAACCTCTGAGCCACACCCAGCTTGGCTACCACAACTTTTTTATCCATTCACCTACTGATGGGTACTTGGGCTTTTTCCAGACCTTAGCTATTATAAATTGTGCTGCTATGAACATAGGGGTGCATATATTCTTTCTGATCGGTGTTTCGGGTCTCTTAGGGTATTTTCCTATAAGTAGGATCACTGGGTCAAATGGCAATTCCATATTTAATTTTTTGAGGAAACTCCATACTGTTTTCCATAATGGCTACACCAGTCTGCATTCCCACTAGCAGTGCACTAAGGTTCCCTTTTCTCCACATCCTCACCAGCACTTGTCAAGTTTGTTGATTTGTTGATGGTAGCCATTCTGACAGGTGTGAGGTGACACCTCAGTGGAATCTAATGAACATAAACTGATGAACAAAAAGTAGACCCAGAGACATAGAAACATGGACAGACTGTCAAACCTCAGAGGGAAGGCAGCGGGGGTAGAGGGTGGGGTGCAGGGGAGGAAGGGATCAACCAATAGGAAGTAGCAAAAGGGGAGCTTGGTTTAGTGGATAAAGCACCAAGTTTGATAATAGAAAACGTGAATTCTAGGCAGAGTTCAGCGCTTGAGAAAGAGATAATACCTTTACCTTTGAAATAAGGAATTTCATCTAGAGCGTGCTATCTTATGCTATAGCCAGTAGCCAACATGTGTCTATTTAATTACTTAAAATGAAGTTTAAAATCAATTCTTCAGTTGCACTAGTCACATTTCAAGTACTCAGTAGCTACATGTGGCGAGTAGCTACCATATTGAACTTTGCAGATTAGAATATTTCTGTCATCACAGAAAATCCTGCTAGATAGTGCTCTGGTCTAGAGCAGGGGTTGTTAAGTATTTCCTATAAAGGACTAGATAATAAACAGTTTAGGTTTTCTAGGCCACTCAGTCTTTGTTGCAACTAATCAACTGCTGTTATATTGCAAAAGCAACCATAGACAATATGTAAATGACTGGTTATAGCTGCTCCAATAAAACTTTTTTTACATAATCAGGCAGCAGACTGGATTTGGCCAGTGAGGGCTATAATTTGCTGTTGTTTGATCTATTGTTATATCACCTAAGTGGTGATATAGACAGTTCGCTTTTGGAGGAAACTCCAATAAATCTATTGCATTTATTTTAAGAGAAATATTCTATTTGAAAAGATGGTATTTTTCATGATATTTTAGTTCCCCTGACATGGATATATTATTAACACATTTCCTCATATTTTCATGAACTTTCTCTCTGTGTGACCTTTCTTCTATCATTGGCTCATTTTATTTCTGACTGACTTTGTCCCTTTTATCTTTATTTCTTTATCTTGAGATAGGCTACTAATAGGTAAACTAGAAAGATGAAAAAGAGAGCAAGAGAGATAAATGTGGTATTGTTATTGGTGGGGAGCTCTCAGGTGAGGGGCAGGTGTGGGATAGAAGGGGACGGTGTGTGTGTGTGGGGGGGAATGGGACCTCTGTAATACATTAAACCGGTGGTTCTCAACCTCTGGCTCTTTAAATACAGTTTCTCATGTTGTGACCCAACCATAAAATTATTTTTGTTGCTACTTCATAACTGTAATGTTGCTACTGTTATGAATCATAATGTAAATATCTGATATGCAGGATGGTCTTAGGCGACCCCTGTGAAAGGGTCGTTCGACCCCCAAAGGGGTCTCGACCCACAGGTTGAGAACCGCTGCTTTAAACAATAAAGATTTTAAAAAATAAAAATAAATGTGTTTTCTTTATGCTGTGCTATCTCTAGCTGATGGAACAAATAAGGCCATTTCTAGCTGGCCATTTGCTCCTCAATTTCTCTGCTTCTTCATCCATGAACACAAGCAGAAAGAGAAAAGCTCCTAGCACATAGCATATCTCTGTTTAAACAAAACCTTACCATCTTTTCCTAATTAGAAAGTTTTTCAGTGGTTGGAGTCACTTGCTTGCCTCATGCAAGTGGAATCACTGGCTGTTTTTTACTAATTGACTTATACCATAAACTAATTAGTAACCATTTTTAACTTTGACCGATTGCAAACTGACTTCTAATACATAATTTCGATTTATTTAAAGACATCTTATTTATATTCAAAGATTATTTTGCCCCTAAAATGTCACAATTTATGACTTCAGTTTTTTCATCTATAAAATGATAGGGTTGGAATAAATGATATCTACATTCCCTTTTATCTTTAATATTTTGTGAATATGAATCAGTTATTTAGGACATATATTTGCATAGACATTATTAGATTGGATATTAAGTTTACTGAAATATAGTCCAAATAGAACTATGTCTAATGGCAATATATAATAAAGTTTATAATATAATATAGTCCTGAAGTGACTCTTTCTCCCTTCTCTACTCCTTCCTTCATCAGCTTGGAGGAGGGTCAACAGGGCACCCTGTTAAAGAGATCAAATAGCCCTAGCTGGTTTTGCTCAGTGGATAGAGCGTTGGCTTGTGGACTGAAGGGTCCCAGGTTTGATTCCAGTTCAGGGCACATGCCCGGGTTGGGGGCTCAATCCCCAGTAAGGGGTGTGCAAGAGGCAGCCAATCAATGATTCTCTCTCATCATTGATGTTTCTATGTCTCTCTCCCTCTCTCTTCCTCTGAGAGAGAGAGAGAGAGAGAGAGAGAGAGAGAGAGAGAGAGAGATCAAATAAAACCTGTCTGCCTCTTACTAGATTCAAGGCTGCATATCTGTTACTTCTATGTTATCATGTTTGGTTTTCTTATGGGAACAAATCAGGTAAAATTAGTGGGTCCACTTGCAGTTGTCATATCAAATTTAATAAGTGGCCAGAGTTTGAAAGCTTTTTTAAAAATAACTTTTAATGCTTGGTAATGGTATCTTATAATAAAAGCAGAAATTATTAATCTAAGATGTTAATAGAGATAATTTTGGAAAAATGTCTTCTAGGCAGCTGAGATTCTACTACAACATGGAGCAAACACTAATAAAAAGAATAAAAAACAGAAGACTGCTTTAGATGAAGCAGATGATGAAAAAATGAGAGAGCTGCTAAAATCTTATGGTGCTATTGAGATTGGTAATAGAGATGAGAGTAAAGCTAGAGTCACTGGTATGTATGTCAGTATTGCTTACCTTTTTATATAGGTGTATACCTCTGCTTAGAAAAATAAAATCTTTATATTTGTAGTGTAAGTTGCTTTATAACTGGGGATAGATGTTTTGTATGCTTATTAAACTCTTGAGAAACCATTTATTTTTAGAAAGTAGTATTTCCAAACTTGGTTTAATTTATAGGTAATATGATCCTATTTGATTTGGAGTTACAATTGAAATAAAACCCGTACCATTCATTAAATAAACATGAATCTCTTTAACATTGGGTATGACATAGAGATGTAACTAAAGCAATGCACATTGGTTTACTTGTAGTGGGGCTGGAAAAGGATATTATACTACTAAACTATTGGCAACTAAAGATTTCATTACTTCACAATTTGTAATGATTCATGTAAAAGTTGGACTAATGCCAGCTTTTAAAGAATCTAATATTCTAATGCTATAATATGAATTTGTTAAGCAAACATATTATATGGGTATGTGTGTAATAAATAGTGAAAAAATATTTCAAGGGAATGTACAGTCAGGCAAAATTTTATGAACCATTTTATAGCAGTTGTTTGAGTTGAAATACTATAATATAATGGATTGTCTATAAGAAATAGGCATTTAGTAAACACTAATTTAGAAAACATATTTGTTGAATACCTGCTATGCAAACCAGGCACTTGCCCATGAGGAGCTTTCAGTCTTTTGGAGAGACCATTCAGAGAATAGGCAATTCAACACAATTTATTAAGTATTGAGGAGAAGGAATTATTCTCCCCTTTCCCTTATGCTTGCGTCTTGACTCATAGAAGTAGAAACCATGAACATAATCTGCCCTCTCTCTTTATGAAGGAGAATATTAGGAAGAGTCTGACACACATTTCTCCCCAGCCTACCAGCATTCTTACCAACTATTGATTTTCAAGGGAGGAATCATATAATTGATATGATTGGTTAGAGCCAGGAATAATCATTGTGTCATATTTTACTAGTATACTAAATCACATGTATATAAAGTTCCTCTTTCCATAGTCTGCGACTATAGGGTAAGTCCCCCGGTTAGGGCCTTTTTTAGAGCCACATCCATGTCTCTATCCCAGTGATGGCGAACCTATGACACGCGTGTTAGAGGTGATACGCAAACTCATTTTCTGGGTTGATTTTTCTTTGTTAAATGGCATTTAAATATATAAAATAAATATCAAAAATATAAATCTTTGTTTTACTATGGTTGCAGATATCAAAAAATTTCTATATGTGACACGGCACCAGAGTTAAGTTAGGGTTTTTCAAAATGCTGACACACCGAGCTCAAAAGGTTCGCCATCACTGCTCTATCCCTTTCCACAGCTCTATCTGAAAGTTTGGATCCCATGAATTATATCAGCTCAACTTAAGAGAAGCCTTTCATTTGGCGTTATCAGGCACTCTGTTATAAAGTGCTATATCTATTCCCACTTGTTTATATGGTTATATGGAGAAAGGGAATCCAGAATGGGAGAAGAGTCAGAGAGAACTATACAGAGACAATAAATCATAGTCATAGTGATTAAGAGCATGGACTTTGAAGTCAGATCTGGTTTCAGTACTAGCTATGTGTCAATTAGACAACTTCCTGAATCCCTCTTCTGTAAAATAAATATAATAAACTGCCTATCACACAGAGTTCATATAGATTAAATA